TGCTGGGCAAGGTCACCATCGCGCAGGGCGGTGTCCTGCCCAACATCCAGGCCGTGCTGCTGCCCAAGAAGACCGAGAGCCACCACAAGGCCAAGGGCAAGTAACTACCTGGACTAGTTTGTGGCAACTCGAATAAAATCGAGTCCAAACCAAAGGCTCTTTTCAGGGCCACCCACGTCTTCTCTAAAAGGACTTAACATTTGTTAATGTTTTATGTGAAAGAAAAAGTGAGGCATGATAAAACTTTGGTCATAAGTTACCCATTCTTATCCTTCTTGAAAACAATGTAGCGAACACCGCAGATTCATAAAGACTGCAGGGAAGGTGGTCAGGGTTCTACCACGTATAAGATTCTACCGCGCACAAGAGTTAGGTGATCAGATCTATTAGGCCACTAACTTTTAAACATAGCATGTGTTCACAGCACCAGTGGCTTTGTGAGTTCTTGAAGCACAAAAGAGTTACCGCCCTGGCTAGAATTTAGCAGGCCGGTGCTTCACGCAGGTCAAGGGCGGCATGAAGAAGCCCCGCCGCTGCGTGCCCAGCACAGTGACCCTGCGCGAGGTCCCGCGCTACCAGAACTCCGTGCAAGCTGCAGCTCCTGTGAGAGCTCGGCGGTGGCGCTGCTGCAGGAGAGCGAGGCTGCAGAACTTTGTGACATTCAGAGCCTCACGTCTTTCCTGATGCATAGATGTCAAGCATTCTCTGCCCACCCCACAGCACGTTGCAAAGTATGCCTTTACAATGAAGTAAAATATTGGGAGGACGTTATCTGGAGTCTAAGAAAGATTTCTCATATTTAGAAAGGTCTAAAATCCCAAGTTGCTATAAGAACCTGACAGGATAGTTATTTCTAATAAACCTTAAAACCCATCAAATTTGAGGTAAAGTTTTGGCATACAGACTGTTAAAATGTCTGCCTCAACAGATAGGGGGAAACAATATACATTACAATATGGTTCAACAAAGGCCTGTTTATGAGTATCAGACAAGTACAGGATGTTAGGGGTTTCTGACACAAACTGAGGCCTCCTAGCAAGACTGGCAGTTTTCTGTGGAGGAGGGTTATTTAGTGTGATATTGTAAATAACTTTTGGTGTTGCAGCGAAATAAGGAATACTCATACCAAGATTGCACAGTCTTGCCTCCTACCTCTGTTCACTGAACTCTGATGTAATCACAAGAAAAAGACGTTAACTCAATCTTGTGTATTGCAGACACTTTTTGCTGTCTGGTAACATGGAAAAATCTCAGAATGATGTTTCCAGTATATAAAATGCCAAACAAAGTTAAATTACAGTGTTCAAAGTATTTTTAAAATTTGATAGTGATAAATGAGCCTAGTTATGCTGTTAATATAGTTGACACATTAATTGCTGTTACAAATTAGATGAGTATAAATGTTTCAAGATAACTCAGCAATTGCAATGATAAATGAAACATCTAATGTCTTTTGGATTACAAAGTAACAGGTACTGAAATTTGTGGCCTAAATTCATAAGAAAGTGAAATGTTCACATTCAGTCAAGGTTAATTTTTTAAACATAGATATTTTACTACCCAACCTCACAGACTTCCCCTTCACCATCCCCTAATTGCTGAATTTTATTCTTAGGGGCGTTGTGACATATAAGTATGGACCTCAAGTTAAAAACCCTTGTTCTAAAATTTGGTTGACCTACCCCATTTCTTTTCAGCTCCTTTTCTCTAGAAACCTCCTCTTCCTATTTGGAATTTCTTTAGCACTTAGCCTATAGACACCTCACACTCTTGTACTGTTTCTATTTCTTGTACTTAAAATATAACTACTACCAATCCTAGTATAAATTTGATGTTTTGGAACAGAAACAGTGCTGACAATATCTAGCAAAGATAGGTCCTTGAGAGGCCCCCCCAAAATAGTAAAATACTTGGCTTTTTGATGGATTTTTATACTGTTTTTATAACCCATAATAATTTTACTCATTTTTTAAAATTTTTCATTTATGCATGTTACAGGGAAGTTTTACTCATTTTTCAATTGTTCTGTCTTTAAAGGTCTTTCAACTTATTTAAATTAATATTTAATAAATTTAACAATTAAATGTACAGTGGTTGGACACAGAATGTATTTTTCAAGGGTAACTTACTGGAAGGGATTCAAATCCAGACCCCAAGAGAGAGTTTTTGAGTCCCTCTCAAGAAAGAGTTTGAGACAAATCCATAGACTACTGTGAAACACAGTTTATTAGAGAAGTAAAGAAAATTGTTCTTTTGTTCTGTTCTAAGTATATTTATAGTTATTTTTTGATTATATGCTAAACAACGGGTGGATTCTTCATGAGTTTTCCTGGGAAAGAGGTGGGCAATTCACCATCTGAGGGTTCCTCCCTTTTTAGACCATATAGGGTAACTTCCGGACTTGCCCTGTCAATCTGTAAAATGTCATGACACTAGTGGGAGTGTCTTTTAGCATGCTAATGTATTATAATTAGCATATAATGAGCAGTGACCAGCCTGACCAAAATGGAGAAACTCCCCTCTCTACTAAAAATACAAAATTAGCTGAGTGTGGTGGCTCATGCCTGTAATCCCAGCTACTTAGGAGGCTGAGGCAGGAGAATCGCTTAAACCTGGGAGGCAGAAGTTGCTGTTAGTGGAGATCACACCATTGCACTCCAGCCTGGGCAACAAGAGCAAAACTCTGTCTCAAAAACAAGAAATAATAAAAGAGACTGATTAGCATCACATTTTGAAAAATGTTATACTGTGTGTATGTTTACTATCAATTTCAGAACACATTTACCTCAGTTTCAGAAACTAAAGAATCTGACAAACTCCCAAATATCCCTTGTAGAGTAGGCAAAATTTTACCTCTACTCTCTTGAGTTTTTATGGCTCGGCCTGATGATTAAACTGACATAAGAGAGATTAACAGAAGAAAAGCATATAAACTGATTTAATATATATTTTATGTGGCATAGGACATGAGAGCTCTAATCATAGATCTCAAAGAAGTTGCAAAACCTAAGTGTTTATATAGTAAGTTTAACAGTATAAAGTGTGGAAATGCAACTATGTAGGGAGGCTAAAGGAAAACAATAATTATTTTACCAAGATCTTGTACAGAATTCTCTTGGTTTCACCTTCCTGTCCTTAATGAAATGTTCTTTTCCTTTTGGTACAGGGAGGACATCTTCCATATGGGAATTTTAATTCATGTTTTCAGGAAGTAAAAGGGAAGGGTCAGAGTGTCTTTCTTGTACCTACTCTTTTTTAAATTGCCTTTATCTCAAAATAATTCTTATTCCAAAATGGCATATTTTGGGATAGCATATTCTGCCACCATTTACCATTCATTGCTATCTTTGTCACTAACTGCTATGTGAAAACTGATGAAATCAGATACAGAAGGAGGCTTCTGATTGGTGAGCTCAAATAGAGAAATGTATTTGTTAACTAATGTTGGGGGAATATAATTTTTAAATCTCCCAAAGAAGAGAAATGAAATAATTTTATTATTGAATAAGCATTAAACAGAGTGAGTTGCTTATCATGGGCAATCTAATGAAGAGGTTGCAAAAGCAGAAAGAAATGCTTTTTTATTATATGTAACTACATTGGGTAGGTTTTGCAATTTGAAGTTAGGTGAGAGCCAAAGTTTGGCCCATTTCCTGGCTGGAAATTGGGAGACAGAGCACTATCTTTTTTTAATGAATAACATTTCAAAGAGATGGCTCTAGGCCTTGAGGAAATATTCTGAGTTTTAAGGCCTATGTAGCCATTAAAAACAATTACATACATTTTAAAAGGACAGAGAAATTTTGAAAGTGAAGTCTCTTGTTTTCAACAGATAATTAAGCCTCTTATTTTTAATTTGTATCTACCCTTAGGTTAGCATATTCAATTAACCTATGCTACCTTCCCCTCTTTACAACATACTGAATTCAGCTACAGCCAGTTACAGCCAATCAAATCAATTTTGTTTTCCAAAGATGTATGGCATGTTTTTATTGCAACATAAATACAAAAAATTTTTAAGTATTTTAATGAAAAGTTTATCTTCATTTTTTTGACATTTAAGTGTAACACTTTGAAAATACTTCAAGCATTGCTGCAAGTAACTCATTGAAATAAAGAGTAGAAAGAAAATCACTGAATAACAAGATTACATGCCAGTGCTGAAAGAAGTTATTACATTTTCTTGGAGCTTAATAAATGGTCTGTACTGCATTTTTTAATCCCATTTATGTAACCCAAAATATTTGAAGTATATATGCTTTTAATGAAAGTTTTCTTAGATAAAAGTATAATCCTTTTCTTGCATTTGAATTTTCTATTTGTTCATTACTGAAAATTCTTTTTAATTATTTTTTTACACAGACTCAGTCTATTGCCCAGGCTGGAGTGCAGTGGTGTGATCTCAGCTCACTGCAACCTCTGCCTCCTGTTCAAGTGATTCTCCTGCCTCAGCTTGTCTCATACTCCCGAGTAGCTGGGATTACAGGTGTGTGCCACTACACCTGGCTAATTTTTGTATTTTTTAGTACAGAGTTTCACCATGTTATCCAGGTTGGTCTTCAACTCCTGACCTCAAGTGATGCTCCCAACTCGGCCTCCCAAAGTGCTGGGATTACAGGTGTGAGCCACTGCAATTGGGCAAAATTAAAGCAAGTTTTAAACATTTTTTGATGGAGAGATTTTATATTGAGATTGGGAGAACTTTAATAAACATATAAAACTAACATAGTTTTGACCAAAGTTGTAAGCAGATTTCTTGGTTGTAACTGGGTAACTTGTAATTTTCAACAATAGTGGTAGCAGAAATTTTTTGAAAATAATAATTTTCAAAATAGTGCTGGGTAAGGTTGTAGGCATATCAGGAACTGCTGTTGGTATAGGGGCCGAGATAAAACATTCCTTTTTCCCTTTGAAAGTTCACTGCAAATCAGCTGACAAGAGAAGACTAATAAGAGAAAAGGCATACAAATTTATTAATGTACAGGGCTGGGGGCCACAGAATGATTACTCCAACCCCTTGGCGGGGTACAGAAGCTTATATACCCTTTCTCAGAGGCAAAAGAGGAGATGGGTAATGTATACAATTATTTGAGGAACAGCGAATGATTATAAGTGAGAAGGAATGAACCAGGGAGACAGACATTAACTTGTAAATGATTCTCTTTGAAATCTGAATGAGACAAAGAGGCCAGCTTTATCTTGTGGAAAAGTCCATCCAGGTGTGGTTGCATTCCTCAGTCTTCTTTTCTGCAGTAGATAAGTAGATAATGAGGTAAGAGAAAGCAATTGTGCTTTTTTTTTTTTTTTTTTTTTTTTTTTTTTTTTTTTTTTTTTTTTTTTTTTTTTTTTTTAATTTTTGGTAAGAAGCTTTCTTGATCAGATCAGGAAATTCCAGAAAAGGTCCCTCCCTGCATTTGGGGAAGAGAAACAAGACAAAGTTAGATGACCTTGATTCTTAGACTTATTTCTGAGAATCTTCAATTTTCAAGAGCACTCAGCATTTTCAAGCTCGGTATTTGGGGGGGATAATTCTCCACCCTTAAACACTGGAAATGAAAATAAGTAGAGAACTTAGCAATATAGCTGAACGATCTTTAAATTTATGAATCCATCTTGTTCTATTGCTAAGAATTTAGAATATGGAGTATATTTCCATGGTATATTAAGGAGAAAAATGCCACAAAATAGCATAGTTCCACACAAATAGTGTTAAAGAAAACATGTATATATGTAGAGATAAAATATTCTTTTTGCTTTATGTATCTTCTATAATGTTAACATTTTGTGGTCGAGCGAGGATGAGGCAGGAATCATGTTAAATGAAGGAAGGAAGAAAAATAACCTAGCTCTTGAGGATTAAAAAGGACTGAAAGAGAACAAAATGAAGTAGAGCGCAGCAGGCCTGTTTCCCTTTTAGGTCCCCTCCCCTAACGCAGAGGGACTTCCCGCCAATGCTTTTCCGGTTTTCAGTCTGGTCCGCAGAGGTTACCCATAAAAGAAAGCTCCCAGCACAGGCAGATATGTATTCTCTGACCACTTGATAATGTCAGGACGCGGCAAAGGCGGGAAGGGCCTGGGTAAAGGCGGCGCCAAGCGTCACCGCAAGGTGCTGCGCGACAACATCCAGGGCATCACCAAGCCCGCCATCCGGCGCCTGGCTCGCCGCGGCGGCGTGAAACGCATCTCCGGCCTCATCTACGAGGAGACCCGCGGGGTGCTCAAGGTGTTCCTGGAGAACGTGATCCGGGACGCCGTGACCTACACGGAGCACGCCAAGCGCAAGACGGTCACCGCCATGGACGTGGTGTACGCGCTCAAGCGCCAGGGCCGCACCCTCTACGGCTTCGGCGGCTAAATGACATTTTGAAGCCCTGTCATTCACTAAAAAGGCCCTTTTTAGGGCCCCCAAGCTTTCAACAAAAGAGTTGAAATGACTGCAAACTGAGTTTCTGAATAGAGCCATTGTCACTGAGTTCTCCCATCCTGCTTTACAGGGGATGTTGAAAATAGGCGACCTTGGGCCAAGATTTTTCGGAGGCCAGAAGAGCCTCTGCTGGCCAGTAACTTCTGGCGACCGCTTGGAAGTTGCCTGCAGCCCGTTTACTGCTCAGATTCATTTAGAAAGTCAAGGAGTTTGGGGTCTAAGTTAATGCCAGGCTAGAGATTTAACTTTTCCTCTGGACCTTCAAACGTCTCGGGAAGAGATGAGGGGTTTGAGGGGCTCCATTAAAGGCTGGGGCCTCTAGGAAAAGTTCGTGTTGGCTGGTTTAAGAGGACTTGGGTGGCACAGAGCTCTGCGCACTTGGGACCGACCATACTTTACTACTGTAGAACACAGTCGGCAGTTTTACTCTCGGTAGTAATAGTTACCTCCTTTATATGTTTGCCTTCTGGCACTATTTTTAAATACTGGGAATTTATCAGGTATACAAAACATGCTAGTGACCACACTACTTATTCAACAAGTGCAGTTAAAATCCCTCCTTATGTCCCTTCCCAGCAGCACAGCCTTCCTTTTCCACCATTCTAGAATTAACTAATATTCTGAATTTGGCACTTTTTGTTCCCATGCGTTTTAACTTTAGATGTGCATACACCTAACCTATTTTAAACGTCTCCATGAATTGCTTTTACATTTGCTCTTGAAATATATCCATGTTGAAATGTGCAGTTTATTTTCAACATTAGCCTAGTTTTCTAATGTGTCAGTAAATACTTTGTTGTTTTTTTTTTCTTTTCCTCATTACAAAACAGTACAACAGCACTGTACACAGCTGTGCATTTTCTGGAATTCCAATTTCATGGAAGTGGGATTGTTTGGTAAGAGTATGTGCATATTCAACATCAATAAAATTGAACAGTTTGCTTTCCAGGGTAGTATTTTAAATTTACACTCTCATATTCCACCAGTTGTGCTCAAGAGTTCTTGTTCATCAGCATTTGCTAATGTCAGATATATATATATATATATATATATATATATATATATATATATATATTTTTTTTCAATGAGATTGTTGGCTATTTGGAGATTTTCCCACTTTTCTGGGAATGGTCTATTCAGATTCTCTCCACTAAGTACTGTTTATATATTTGAGGTTTAACCTTTTGTCAGTAAGTGACAAATTTGTTCTGTCACCTTGTGGGTTCATTTTCAAGTGTTTGCAATACTTTTTGACGTACAAAATTTTAATAATGTTGAATTTATATTTTTTATAGTTTTTGAATGCTGCCTTTTCATATAGGAATTATCTGCCTTCCACTATCCCCAGGAGCTGCAGGCATCAATCTGAAAAATAATACTTAGGCTGCTTATTTCCCGATTTGGCTTGAATTGGATAGTAAGGCTTTTCTGAAATAGCTCTAAGAGTAGCATTAAGAGCAAGCCAAGGGAAGACGTGATAAAATATTGATCTAACTCTAAAAAAGCAATGATTAACAGGATACCTAAAAATTGCAAAGTATTACAAGAGGGACAAAAGAAAAGGTGAGAGAAAGAGAGTGGAAAATAATGCCCAAGATACACTGAAAGTTTGTTGAAATTTGTGTTAAGCGCTTTACATGGATTATCTCCTGTCTCATATTCTTCTTAGATAAGATTTTATTACCCGTATTTGAAAATGGCAAAATTGAGGCCTAATCAAATAACTAATTCACAAATGTTATATACTATGACCCAAACCTTTAACTTTTTCTTTAATTTTTATTCTTCCAGAAGGATAGAATCCAGGCTGGAGTGCAATGGTGAGATCTCAGCTCACTTTGACCTTCACCTCCTGGGTTCAAGTGATTCTCCTGTCTCAACCTCCGGAGTAGCTGGGATTACAGGCATCTGCCACCACACTTGGCTAATTTTTTATATTTTTAGTAGAGACAGGGTTTCATCAGCTTGGCCAGGCTGGTCTCTAACTCCTGACCTCATAATTCACCCACCTTATCCTCCCAAAATGATGGGATTAAAGGTGTGAGCCACTGTGCCCATCCCTGCATGGTGTACTTTAGACAAACTACTAAAAGTCCTGCGTAGCTGGAGCCTAGAGTACTTCTTGAAGAAAATGCATGCTAGTATTTTTTTCTTCTTAAACTTCTCAACTTTTAAAAAATAATATCGGTCGGGCACGATGACTCACGCCTACAATCCCAACACTTTGGGAGGCTGAGGTGGGCAGATCACGAGGTCAGGAGATCAAGACCATCCTGGCCAACATGGTGAAACCCTGTCTCTACTAAAAACACACACACACAAAATTAGCGGGGTGTGGTGGTGCGTGCCTGCAGTCCCAGCAACTGTGGAGGCTGAGGCAGGAGAATTGCTTGAAACCGGAAAACGGAACTTGCAGTGAGCTGGGATCGCGCCACTGCACTCCAGTCTGGCGATAGAGCGAGACTCCGTCTCAAAAAAATAAAAATAAATAAAAATAAAATCTAGACCAGGGGCAGTAGCTCACCCCTGTAATCCCAGCACTTTGGGAGGACAAGGTACGTGGATCATCAGAGGTCAGGAGTTCGAGACCAGCCTGGCCAATATGATGAAATTCCGTCTCTACTAAAACTACAAAAACACGCCTATAATCTCAGCTACTCAGGCGGCTGAGGCAGGAGAATCGCTTGAACCCAGGAGGGAGAGGTTCCAATGAGACATGATTATGCCACTGCACTCCAAGCTTGGGCAACAGAGTGAGACCTCATCTCAAAAATAACTAAATTAATTAATTAAAATAAACTCTGAATAGGCAGAGGCACTATACTGGCACAATTTTCTCTTGCCAGCAACTTAAAATCAGCCAAAATTAGTAAAAATTATACAATTTTTACTGTCTATGAAAATTAAGTCAAGGGCACAAAAGTGACTGAAGGATGTCCTGCGTGGGAAACTTCTCAAGGAAACTCAAATTATACCATCACTTCCCTTCACTTCTGATTTATTCCCTCTGCCTACTTCCTTGCTCGCTTCTCTCTGAAAATGATTTATTAAGATATTTCTTTCACATCTTTGTTGTACTTTATTTTTCACATTTGAAAATGTCTATACTTATCCCACAGAATTATGTGAAGATTAAACGAACTAATATATCGCATGTATAGATCAGTGCCTCCTATATAGGCAAACTGTAATTATTTGTTGAAACATCTTAAAATATTAATGTAACCCCAAAATCGCTGGTAGGATGACAGATGAACAGTGAACATGTTTTGTATGTATGAAGTGTTACAATATGACTCTGCTAATCTCCAAATGCACTTCAAAGGGTGGGCAATATCCCCAAAGATTAGAACAATGTGTGGCCAAATATGATAAATATATGTACACAGGCATATACATTGAAAATTTCCCTGTGAAACTGGCTTACATTTCTAAATCACAAATTTAGCCAGGTGACAACCTAGATTAAAATTCCTGGACCTTTCCTTTCACTCCATTCTTCCAAAATGTTTCACACTGCGTGTCACCGGCATAAATAGCCATTCTAGCCTCTACACAATAAAACTCACCCACCTAACTCTGCTCAGACCCTGAGCCTGGGCCAGTTCCTTTGCCCTCTACTCAAACTTCTGCTCCCGGGGGTCCGTCTCTAGTCTCAGTCTGTCTCCCCTCTGAATCCAGTTGCTTTTCCTTTTCAAAGTTCTACAGCTTTCTTGTTTGTCAAAAAGAAAAATTACTGATTGAGCCAATTAACGCTAAACATGTTTTAAAACCTAGCAAACTATTCCAAAAATCTCCGTGATCTCTCAAGTTCCTTTTCTTCACTCATGAGAAAAGGTATGCTCCTCCCCTTACCCTTACAGACTATCCCGCTTGGTGGTCGGACATTTTCTCGACATCTTGTGGGCTGGAGAGGTGGAAACGAAGGGGAGGGGAAAGCAAGCCACACAAAACCGGGTACAGCCTAGAAGGGGTTAAATAAGGTAACTGCTAGGCCGGGCACGGTGGCTAACGCCTGTAATCTCAGCACTTTGGGAAGCCGAAGCTGGCAGACCTCGAGGTCAGGAGATCGAGACCATTCTGGCTAATACGGTGAAAAGTGTTAAAAATACAAAAAACTGGCCAGGCTGGTGGCGCGCCTCTGGTCCCAGCTACTTGGGAGCCTGAGGCAGGAAAATCGCTTGAACCCGGGAGGTGGCGGTTGCTGAGGCGAGACCGAGCCACTGCACTCCAGCCTGGGAGACAGAGCAACCCTTGTCCAAAAAAATTTTAAAAATAAGGTAACTGCTGAGTGAAAGCCATACATTGTGGAAGGTTATTGGGGATCAAATTTACTTCTAAAACCAAGTTAGAATTCTCTTAAATGGTGGAAAGGTGCACGTGACACAATAGGATTTCAACAAGTTCGAACAGGAAGCCACAGCACTAGACACAACGGAAGTATCTATTTTCGCGCCAAGAGCCAGGAAGCACTTTCTGTTAACAAGTTTCCTGCACATCCCCGATTTTTTAGCCGCCATATTCCTTACCCAGTGCTAGCAAAGTGTATGCGCCTTCACTTCGGCCAGACCCCATTACAAGCACTGTACGCATTACTCAGCGTAATGAGGTCATGATAATCCCTTTAAAGAGACCGCCCGAATTTAAACCTGGATTAGAAACACGTGTGTGCAGCTCTAATACCGGCAATTTAAGTGGCTCTTAAAAGAGCCTTTGGGTTGGGCTTTAAGACGCTTACTTGGCAAGTTTACTTAGCGCTGGTGTACTTGGTGACGGCCTTGGTGCCCTCCGACACGGCGTGCTTGGCCAGCTCCCCGGGCAGCAGCAGGCGCACGGCCGTCTGGATCTCCC